TTTAAAATTTTTTTAATACAAACATTTAAAGACATATAATACTCTTTTATTTACTACAATTTGTAAATTTTTTTTAATTAAAGTTTCACTTGGAAAGAATTTTTCATTATTAGGATCCCACATCCTTTCTTCCACATATTTTACCAAAGAATCCCATTTAGTACCACTTCGAGATGAAAGTTCTTGTAAATCTTGTTTAACTAATGAATTAATTTCTTGACTACGTGCAAGTCCTTCATCTACAGCTGTTACGATTACAGCAGCAGCTACTTGGGCTGATACACGTCGAATTCGTTGTATAGCTGGGTAAAGGAAGTCTTGTTCAATTTCTGAAGAGGTAAGTGATTCAGCGAGTGCAGCAGCAGAAGCGTATATTTGGCGATCAGTAATTCTTTCGGGACGAGCAAGAATTGCGCCTAAACCGAGACCAGGGCTAAATTGATTTAAAGAAAAAAGATTAAAAAAGTTAATTTAAATTGTATTAAATATGAAAAAATTAATAAAAAATAAGATGTTTAAGTTTATACATACAAGATATACATATTATTTCCTTGTCCTGGATACCGTATTTTTCCTGTTTCTTGTTCAATGAATGGCGGAAAACCGGTACCCGAAGCAAATAAGACACGATTACCAGTACATCTCATTGCCTTTATAAAAATAAATGATTATAGAAAAAAAACAAAATAATAATAATATGTTAACAATAAATTAATACAATACGAAATTTATTTGAAAGATAATTCAATTACTTACATCTTCATAACTACATTCCGCATTAACCATTGGATTAGATAATGGGAAAATGATAGGATTCTTGTTAAGTTCACCCATACGTCGTAATACATTTTCATCAAATACACCACCAGTAGAAGATAATCCTATTAAAACGGTTGGCTTGACATATTCGATGACATCCATAAGTGATTTAAATTGATGACCTTCATTATCTGAACGGGCGAAATAACCTTTATGTTTGGCTAATTTATCACCACGATCACAAGTAACAAGACCCTAAAATATAAGACAAAAAATATTTTATTAATATAAATTAATTAATTAATTATAAGAAAAAAATTATCAATATATAATTCTATATGCAATACTAATAAAATCCTTTTGACAATGTAAATCACCTTTAATAACAAA